CTCAGTATTGAACAAAACCCTAGAAGGAGGAGGCATCAGAGATTGATCATTTGGAGCTTCATTACGCGGTACAGCCCCAGAAGACGAAGGCAATAAATGCCTTTGGAACAAACCCACAAATCTCTGATGATCAAGTAAAACCTGACCATCAGATTCCTTCATCTGGTCAAGCTTCTTCTTCATGTTTGTAGCATAGTCATGTGCGAGCCGGTGCAACTGTTTATTCTCATGCTTGAGCCCTCTAATCTCCTGTTTGAGACTCATCACTTCAGCCGCCAATGATTCAACTTGGCGGGTTCGAGCAAATAGGCGTTGGGCCATATTAGACACAGAACCTGCACACTGAACACTGAGAGCCAGAGAATCCTTAACAGACAACTCATCAGACCGTTTGGAAAGTAGTCTGTTATCTTTGGGAGTGAGAAGGTTCCTGGCCACTACCGCAGCGGTCATATCATTCTTCATCACGGAATCCCCAACGGTAAGAGGACCAGTAGGGGAGACGAAGGATGGGCGCCATATGTTGTCTGGAGAAGGCGGGGCTGCCTCTTCAACAAGGTTCAAGTCAAAACGACGGTCGGAGGGGCCAGACATTTTCAAAGGTGTTGAAGAGATAAGAGGTCGGACAAATCAAGATCTTAGAAGTGCAAGAATAGAGCTTCTACTGGTGGATATTCAAGTGTGCTTTGGAACTTAATGTCAGCCCCTATAAAAATCAGCACTCGATGAAGCTTCAGAAATCGAAGAGGCGTCTGCTCAGAAATCGAAGAGGCGTTTGCTTTCTCAAAAGCTGGGCTGCTAAGAGATTCTCAAAAGCTGGGCTGCTCAAAGACCACAAAGGCCGATCTCAGAAATCGAAGAGGCTTGCTTTCTCAAAAGCTGGGCTGCTCAGAGACCACGAGGGCCGATTTCAGAAATCGAAGAGGCACCTACTTTTCCAGCCTTGTCAGCACCTGTCACACGCACACTCAGCTTTGCGGAAATTATGGGCATTTTGTCGAAGATTTCTGGCGAAATAGAAAGCACATAAATCGTACTGTTCAATCACCCACTTCCCACACGCAACAGTAGCTCATGGGTACCACAGATAACTTTGCCAAAGTTCTCTGACAAAGTTGAGACACGTGAAGCTTGCAGCTCCCACTGCACCGCTCTGACCAAGAAGGGTAAAAGAATTGCAAAGAAACAACACTAACAAAGTTTAGACACATAAATTTTGAAGGTCTAGCTACCATATTATTACCCACAAGGGTAAAGGAACAGTACCACTGCTGGATAATTGGAAAGTCCCGGTGTGTCAACCTCTGTGCTTCGTGGCAAGGTAGACTAGCAAACATGCCCAACCTTTACTCACATTCGAGAAAACACTCCTAACAAGATTACTTGCTCCAAAATCGAAGAGGCACCGCCCTCCGAATCTCGAAAGCCAGACTCCCAACATGATTACTTTCTCAAAAATCGAAGATAGGGTAAAGGAACAGTACCACTGCTGGATAATTGGAAAGTCCCTGTGTGTCAACCTCTGTGCTTCGTGGCAAGGTAGACTAGCAAACATGCCCAACCTTTACTCTCATTCGAGAAAACACTCCCAACAAGATTGCTTGCTCCAAAATCGAAGAGGCACCGTCCTCCGAATCTCGAGAGACAGACTCCCAACATGATTACTTTCTCAAAAATCGAAGAGACACCGCTCTCCGAATCTCGAGAGCCAGACCCCCAGCAGGATTGCTTTCTCAAAAAATCGAAGAGGCATCGTTTTCCGAATCTCGAGAGCCAGACCCCCGACAGGTCTGTAATCTTCACACGCAACATCAGCTTTCCAGATACCACAAACCACTTTTTCAAAGTGCTCTGACAGAGTTAAAACATGTGAAGCTGGCAGCTCCCACTACCGTGCTATAAACCAAGCAGGGTAAAGGAATAGCATTATTACTTGATGTTAGGGAGACTCCTATATATGTTGACTTCCATCCCTAACGGACAGGCAGACCTGCAAAAATGCTCAACCCTTTCTCTTATCTGAGAGGGCACTCCCAACAAAGCCTTTCGAAATATTCAGCTTTTTTTCCCCCCGATAATACCTCTGTAAACAAGCTATACTACTAGAGCAAGAATATCTCATATCATCAGGGTTAAAAGCAAGAGTATCCCATATCATGCTTTTTCCCTGTCTTTCCCTTTGGCCTTGTTCTTACCTGCAAGACAAGGAAAAAGAGAGCAATCAGTCAGCACTTGGAATCAAGCTTCCAGCCAGGAACTGACTGCCTGGAACCCCTTACCTGATTACTTACCTGGCATTGCTCTCGAGTACTCATCTTCAACATCTTATGCTTCCAGGGAAGATACCGCATCTGCCTGAGGAACAGATAAGGCAAGTGAGAAGGATACAAGGAAGCATGTGGAGACAAGCGTAACAGCACACGTGCCGATACATCCACTACTCTATCAAAAGCAAAAGTATCCCATATCAGCAGGGTCGAACGTACTCTAGATTTAATGAACTTGTTTTGACCCTCAAATTCTTCAGTCGGCCTTATACTCTGGAGGAAACCAGAAAACCCTCCAGCCCAGTTCAAGAATAAGCCTGTGGAAAGTTACTTCTTCAAAAGCAAAAGTATCCCATATCATCTCTCCTCATTTTTCTTCTCTTTATCCTTCATGCTGCCTGCAAGATAGGGAGAATGTGAACAATCAGCCGGAGCTCTGATTGCTTACCTTGTCTGTCACCTCTTTTAGCAGATCCCCCAGCTCGGCGACTTGGGGGACTCCTACTACATGGTTTGTATCTCGCTTGACCAAGCATGAAACTACAAGTAAGCTTCAAGTGAAATTGATACATTACCTTGTGCATCTCCACCAGTTACAGATACCACCCCTGGATGGAGGAAGAGTACTTCCAGAGAAGATGCCACATCTACCTATGAGACAGATAAGGCAAGTCAAGACGATACCACACTCCGGTACTTAGAAGTTTCGTGGCTACGAGATCATTCTCCCACAATTTTTCCTAATGTCATTTGTATTAAATCATTCACTTGTACTCACTAAAGGAGAGCTTGAACCTATGTACTTGTGTAAACCCTTCACAATTAATGAGAACTCCTCTATTCCGTGGACGTAGCCAATCTGGGTGAACCACGTACATCTTGTGTTTGCTTTTCTATCTCTATCAATTTATATACTTATCCACACTAATGACCGAAGCAATCTAGCGAAGATCACAAAAAGTGACCGTTTTCGCTACCTAGGATCTATCTTGCAAGAGAACGGAGAATTAGATGGAGATCTCAACCATAGAATACAAGCTGGATGGATGAAGTGTAAGAGTGCATCCGGCGTGTTGTGTGACCGTCGTAGGCCACTGAAGCTCAAGGGAAAATTTTATAGGACGGCAATAAGGCCAGCGATGTTGTATGGCACAGAATGTTGGGCGGTGAAGCATCAACGTACACAAAATGGGTGTAGCGGAGATGAGGATGCTTCGTGGGATGTATGGGCACACGAGAAAGGATAAGATTGGGAATTAGGATATCCGAGGTAAAGTAGGAGTAGCCAAAATTGAAGAAAATATGAGAGAAAATCGGTCCCGGTGGTTTGGACATGTGCAAAGAAGGCCTACTGACGCTCCGGTTCGAAAATGTGACTACGGGACAGAGGTTCGGGGCCGAAGGAGTAGAGGAAGACCTAGGAAAACTTTGGAAGAGACCCTAAGAAAAGACTTGAGTACTTGAATCTAACGGAGGACATGACACAAATGAGCGCAATGGCGTTCTAGGATTCATATAGCCGACCCCACTTAGTGGGAAAAGGCTTTGTTGTTGTTGTTGTTGAAAGAATTTTTTTTGCAATTTGAATATTTATGAGAAAATGGAATGAATAATATTTATAAGCATTTATGTTAAATTAACAATATTAAATATAACATAAACTTATAATATTTAGTAATATAAAAATATATTATGTTAAATTAATTTTTTTTTGCAATTTGAATGGTTATGAGAAAATGAAATGAATAATATTTATAAGCATTTATGTTAAATTAACAATATTAATATAACATAAACTTATCATTTTTAGTAATATAAGAATATATTATGTTAAATTAATTTTTTTTACAATTTGAATTGTTATGAGAAAATGGAATGAATAATTTAAATAAGCATTTATGTTAAATTAACAATATTAAATATAACTTTTGCACTATAATTATTATTTTATTTTATTGTTATTTTGATAACTTTTGGTTGTTATTTACTAGAATGGATTAGATGAGCATAATTTTGATAACTTTTTGTTGTTATTTTAATTTGTTTTTACTATAATAGGTGTTGAGAATTAAAAGATTGCAATCGTGATAGAGTTCGAGGGTTGAAAGATAGAAATTGAAAATTCTAATAGTTATGCCTACATGATAGGGATTGCAAGATTGTAGGCATCTTAGTGTCAGCGCAATATTTTACCCTCGTAAACTGGTAAAACATGGAAAAGAGTTGGTTGACGATACCCCGAACCGAATTTTTTGAAGCGTATACAGCTGGAATTGGAATTAATTTGTTTTTGGATCAAGCAGTTGCAAATGGTGTTGGTCCTGATAAGTTTAGATGTCCTTGCAAAAGATGTTGTAATCGATATACTTTTGTTAGGAACACTATTATTGAACATCTCATATTGTATGATACGGATAAAGATTATAAAAATGTTTGCTGGCGACATCATGGCGAGCAAAACATTGGAGAGCAAACTGTGGCAATTGGAGAAGAAGAAACAAGAGATGAGGTGATTGGCATGCATGACTTTCTTAATGATGTATTTGTCCAACCATTAACAGAAGAAGGTGTTAGGCCGTCTACTGAACCGTCTATGGGGAAGGGCGTCCAGAAGAGGTGGAGACTTTTTTTAGGTTGCTTGAAGAGGCAGATCAAGATTTGTGGCCAGGGTGTAAGGAGTTTAAGAAATTAGAAGCAGTTGTAAGACTGTATCAGATCAAGTGTTTAGCGGGAATGCCAGACGACATCTTCACAACTTTACTGGAGTTAATTAAAAGAATGTTGCCTGAATGGGATTGTTTGCCTGAATCATGTTATAAGGCAAAAAAACTTATAAATGACTTGGGTCTGACGTATGTGAAAATTGATGCATGTCCCAATGATTGCATGATCTATTGGAAAGATACTTCAGATTTGACCGTGTGCTCGGTTTGTGGTGAATCAAGATATAAAATTACCAACGCAGCGGATAGGTCGAGAAAAAAGATCGCAGCTAAGGTTATGTGGTATTTTCCTTTAAAACCACGATTGCAACGATTTTTTATGTCGAAGCATACGGCTGAACATATGAGGTGGCATGCAGTTGAATGTCCTAAAGATGAGTTTATGAGACATCCTTCAGATTCTCCAGCATGGAAGCATTTGGATAATTTATATCCGAATTTTGCATTAGAAATTCGAAATGTTCGATTAGGGTTGGACAGTGATGGATTTAATCCTTTTGGAAAAATGAGGAATGATCATAGCACATGGCCTGTGGTGCTTTCTGTTTACAATTTGCCGCCTTGGATGTGTATGAAGCAACCAAATTTGTTGTTGTCTCTTTTAATACCAGGACCGCGCAGTCCTGGTAAAGAGATTGATGTATACATGCGTCCACTGATTGACGAGTTGAATGAGTTGTGGGAGGTGGGCACTCCAACTTATGATGCGTATTCCAACCAAAGTTTTACGATGAAAGCTGCTGTCTTATGGACTATAAGTGATTTTCCGGCTTATGGAATGTTGTCAGGATGGAGTACACATGGCTATAAAGCATGTCCACATTGCATGCATGATAAAGAATCCATTTACTTGCCGGCGAGTCGTAAAATTTGTTATATGGGACATCGACGGTTTCTTGAAGATAATCATAGGTTTCGAAGGCAAACCACAGCTTTTAATGGTCGTCGAGAGCATCGTAGTGCACCAAGGCAGTGGACTGGTTTACAATGTCTCGAAGAACTTTGTACATTGAGATTTACTTTTGGAAAACCAAAGAAAAATGCTTCAGTTGGGCAACGCAGAAAAAGAACTTCGAGCAGTACAAGTGGTAACAGTCAGTGGACGAAGAAATCTATTTTTTATGAACTACCTTATTGGAGGCATCTGTTGATTAGACACAATCTTGATGTTATGCATATCGAGAATAATATATGTGACAGTGTGGTGGGAACATTGCTAGGTATAGAAAAGTCTAAAGATGGATTGGTTGCACGTGCAGATCTTGAAGTCTTGAACATAAGACGCAGTCAACACCCACGTAGAGAAGGAAATATAACATTTCTACCTCCAGCTTTGTTCACGTTGAAAAGAGAAGAAAAAACTGCGTTTTGCAATGTGTTGTCTACTATTCGGGTCCCCGATGGATATTCATCAAATTTATCGCGATGTGTGCACGTGAATGAACGAAAAATACATGGGTTGAAAAGTCATGATTGCCATGTTTTAATGCAGCAGTTACTCCCGCTTGCAATACGCCCGGTTTTGCCTAAAGTTGTTACTATGGTATTATTAAAGTTGAGTGCAATTTTCAGACAGTTGTGTAGTAAGAAGGAGTCTGAGGAAGGATTCAAGGAACTGAGTTCAAGAATTGCCTTGACATTATGTCAACTTGAAAAAATATTTCCTCCTGCATTTTTTGATATAATGGTGCACCTTCCAGTTCACTTGGCAGATGAAGCAGCTCTTGCAGGGCCTGTTCCCTATAGATGGATGTATCCAATTGAACGGTAATTAATAATTTTTTATAAATTTTTTACAATTGTAGTCATAACTTTAATTTATAATTATAATTGTTTGTGTTTCGTTTATAATTATAGGTATTTGCAAACGTTGAAGCGTTATGTTCGTAATAAGGGTCGTCCTGAAGGTTCTATTGCTGAAGCATATTTGGTGGATGAGTGCTTGTCCTTCTGTCCATGTATCTTAGAGGGGTCGAGTCTCGTCGTACCCGTAGAGGCCGAAATGAAGATGGGATTGGACGTGGAGTGTCTGATGGGTTATCAATTTTTGACTCTAAAGGATGTTATATGGGTTCAGGAGAACATGTGGAGCTCGATCTAAATGCTCTTGATCAGTGCCATAGATACATTCTAAATAATTGTGATGAAGTGAACCCATTTAGAAGGTAAGAACGTTTAATCATACGTTTTAATGTTTTATTGATTTTCTTAACTTTGAAAAATTAATTATCTAAATTTGGACATAATTGTGTAGCCAACATGAGGAATTCTTGAAAACTAAACATCGTCGAGAAAGGTTAACTATGCGCCAAATTAAGGAGCTAAGCAAGAAAGAATTTCCAGAATGGTTCAAGCAACATGTGAGTTGATATAACAATCACATTATTTATTTATTGTTTTGCATTTTTAATTATAACATGTTATAGTTATTCTGTCAATTTTTATCTTCATACTTATTACAGATGAATTCAAGCTATCATGCTAATGACACGTTGATATCTGAAGACTTGCATTGGCTAGCTAATTATCCTAGTAGGGTTGTGAGTAGATATAAAAGTCACATTGTTCATGGGTTTAGATTTCGTATAAAATCTGTGGATGATAAGCATAAGAATCAAAATTGTGGTGTCTTTGTACCTGCAAATGTTCCTGGAGCAATTGGGCAAGTGAATTGTTATGGCAGAGTTGTTGATATGTTCGAGGTTAAATATTGTGGTCCTACTGAGGCGGGAGATAGGGGTCGAGCTGTGATGTTATTTAAGTGCGAATGGGTTAATAGTGAAAGTCCACGAGGAATGAAGACCGATCAATATGGATTTACTATGGTGAATTTCAATCAATTGGGATTTAAAGAGGATCCTTTCATACTAGCATCACAAGCATTACAAGCATTTTACGTGGAGGACACAATTGAAAAAGATTGGCACGTAGTTGTTCGAACTCAGCCGAGGGATTTGTTTGACGTACTAGAGGATAGTGATGCTATTGATGATTATGCCATACCGAATTTGGATGATCGAATTCTTGATAATGAAAATTTTCATACAAGGGTTGGCGTGGAAGAGACTCCTTTTCTTGAATCATTAGCGTTGCCTACCGAGTTCGTTAATCATGCCAATGTCGACGATGAGCTAACAGATGATGACGGAGAATAAATATGTTAATTATTTTATGTATTAATTATACTATCTTTCATTTCGTATGTTATGATATCTTATTATCAAAATTATATTTCTGTTTTTTTTTATTAAGTATTATATATATAAGTTAAACCTTTTTTTTTAATATTGGGTTATAAATTTTTTTTTTTTTTAAGCTTGTTTCCTGTCGCTTTTAACCGACGTCGGTTTAATTAAAATATTTTGGGCGGCACTATTCCCGGTTTTTTTCATTCAGTTAGCGTCGGTTTTAACCGACGCAATGAAGCTTATTTCGACACAACCAAAGATTATTTCGACGCAGACTGTCAGTTGGCATCGGTTTTAACCGACGCAATGAAGCTTATTTCAACGCAACCAAAGATTATTTCGACACAGACTGTCATGTTACGTCGGTTGAATCCGACGCAATGTCAGTCTATTTCGACGCAAGATAAAAACCTGTTGTGAATTATTTGTATTAATGCGAAGAAAGGATGTTTATTTTTTCTTATTTACAGTTCACGAAATTTTTTGAGCTCTTAATTACACTATTTTTCTTTTTATTTAACAATTTTATACTTCTAAAAACTATAATAATTATATATATATATATATATATATTAAATTCTTTTATTTAACAATTTTATACCCCTAAAAAACGATCGATCTTCAATTTGAAATATTTACACTAGTGGATATCACAAAATCTTGTGTTATACTTAATGAAAGTATGAATAAACTCTTTAAGTGTTAGTTGATGTATCGTTTTGATGGAATACGAATTCTACAAAACTAATTTCAACGATCGAACCGTCAAACATGTTTGTATATAATTCGAGATCGCATACGCCAAAAATTGCAAAAAAACAACTTTCTGAGACAAAGTAATGGGAAAAACTTATTCGACGGTTATTAACGAAAAATCACGATTTAACGGTTATTTTAACTCCGATTTTGATGATTTTTTATATGTACACTCCTTCACCCTATATGAATACGGTGAATGAATGCGATCTTCAATTTGATATATTTACACTAGTGGATATCACAAAATCTTGTGTTATACTTAATGAAAGTATGAATAAACTCTTTAAGTGTTAGTGGATGTATCGTTTTGATGGAATACGAATTCTACGAAACTAATTTCAACGATCGAACCGTCAAACATGTTTGTATATAATTCGAGATCGCATACGCCAAAAATTGCAAAAAAACAACTTTCTGAGACAAAGTAACGGGAAAAACTTATTCGACGGTTATTAACGAAAAATCATGATTTAACGGTTATTTTAACTCCGATTTTGATGATTTTTTATATGTACACTCCTTCACCCTATATGAATACGGTGAATGAATGCGATCTTCAATTTGATATATTTACACTAGTGGATATCACAAAATCTTGTGTTATACTTAATGAAAGTATGAATAAACTCTTTAAGTGTTAGTGGATGTATCGTTTTGATGGAATATGAATTCTACGAAACTAATTTCAACGATCGAACCGTCAAACATGTTTGTATATAATTCGAGATCGCATACGCCAAAAATTGCAAAAAAAACAACTTTCTGAGACAAAGTAACGGGAAAAACTTATTCGACGGTTATTAACGAAAAATCACGATTTAACGGTTATTTTAACTCCGATTTTGATGATTTTTTATATGTACACTCCTTCACCCTATATGAATACGGTGAATGAATGCGATCTTCAATTTGATATATTTACACACTAGTGGATATCACAAAATCTTGTGTTATACCCAGATTAATACAAATTGGTACGTTATATTTAATATTTGTGCATGTTATATTTCATAATTGTATGTTAATATGATGTTTATATGTTTTTATAATTTAATACAACAAATTATTTGCATAAGAAAATTTCATTTTAAACGAATAATGATAAGATAAGATTGGATGTTTATGGTGATTTTTAGAATATTTAGAATATTTATTACTTTATTTTATGAACTAGGTGATCAATTATTTACAATAAAAATCAAAATTTTAATTATAAATTAACCGAACAATGTTTGATCAAAAGTTTCAAAATTATATATGTTTGATTAAAAAAATTCAAATATAAGGCATCTATATCAAAATGATCCTAAAATTATATTTCTGTTTTTATTAAGTATTATGTATAAGTTAAATTTTATATATTAAAATATGATATGAAATAACATAACTGCTTATTTTTTAATTTTGGGTTTAACTAGTTTTTTTTTGTCTCCTGCGTTTCCATTTTTTTTTTTAGTTAAACTCTTTTTTATTTTTTTGTTGGGCGGGAATTTTCCCGGTTTTTTTTTGCACGGGGAAATGGATTGGAAGATTGGACGTGCGAAGCATCGAAATAATAAATCGTTGCGTCGAAATAATAAGTAGTGGAGTCGGTTTGAACCGACGCAACTACTTATTATTTCGACGCAACCACTTATTATTTCGACGCAACAATTAATACGTCGGTTAAAACCGACGCAACCAGTTATTGTTTCGACGCAGGCATTTATTATTTCGATGCCTCGGTTCATTCGCACGTCCAATTCCGAGGACACTGCAATTACTGTCTGTCAGAATAACGTCGGTTCAAACCGACGCAATTGTCCTCTATTTCGACGCTAGGTAAAACTGTCAGACTATAACGTCGGTTTTAAGCGACGCAATATGCCCCTATTTCGACGCCTCGGTCACATTCACACGTCCAATTCCGAGGCCACTGGAATTACTATCTATCAGCAGAACGTCGGTTTAAACCGACGTAATTGTCCTCTATTTCGACGCCATATTACCCTATTTCGACGCTAGTCAAAAGTGTGTCAGAGTTTGTGTCGCTTTGAAGCGACGTAATGGTTGCATATTTCGACGCTAAGTTTTTTGGCATATTTAAGCTTCTACGACCTATTTCCGTCTCTCTCATTTCACTCTCTCATTTCACTCCCTTCACTCCCTCTCCTTCTCCATCTTCTGTATTCCTCATTTCTTCCGTGATTCCTTTGGTTTTGCTATGGATAGTAGTAGTGATTCTCAACGTGATGAGGAACTTCATGTGGAAGAGGAGGAGGTCGAAGCTGGTTATTTTTCTATATTATTATTAGATTCGTTTTTTTTTTTTTTGGTGTTTAATCTTCTATTATTCTTATAAACTGAAAATTTACATCTGTTTCCAACTTTTTTGGTTTGTTTTAATCGTGGTTTTTGTATGAACAAGGAACATCTCAACGGAGGCGAGGACCCTCAGTTCCCAAATGGACGAAACAGCTTTGTTCTTTTGATATGTCCGGAAAATGCGTTAGTGATAACTCTAGTGCATTTTCAAAATATGTGGCATCGGAGGTTAGAGACCACAGAATTCTCCCATTGGCGAAGCATTGGCGTAAGATTAAGGATGTAGATAAGGAAGCTTTCTGGAATAGAATTAAGGTATAGGTATTATTTTTTTTTTAGGCATTGTTATAATATTTGACTTGGTTGATTTTTTTAAGCATTGTTATAATATTTGACTTGGCGTAAGATTAAGCATTGTTATAATATTTGACTTGGTTGATTTTTTTTTTTTTTTTATGGATGTAGGGAAATATTGTTTTTGAAGATGCTGATATACCAAGATTGCCTTTGATCCGCTTTATGACGCTTAAGGTTGCTGAGCATGCACATAAGGAGTTTAGAAATAAGTTTAAAAAAAAGTATTATACGAACAGAGCTGCAGAGGAGCGTCGCCAGCCTCCTCTTGATGTGAATCCTACCCAGTGGGGTAATTTGTTGGCATACTGGACTGGAGATAAAACAAAGGTAAACGATGTAGTTTATTTCGTTATAACTATAAATTTGTGTAATAATTTTTTTATTTTTATTTTCAGGAGGTTGCTGAAAAAAACAAGATTAATCGGCAAAAGAAAACAATGAACCATACTACTGGTACAAAATCTTTTGCAAGAAAGCGGCAAGAATATGTATGGATTGTACAATTTGAAGAAATGTTATTTTAAATATTCTATAGTTATAAATTTTAATTTTAACGAGGTTTGCCTAAAATTGTTTGTGTGAAATTTTATTTTTGGTAAAGCGGAAGAAGCATGGGAAAGAAGTCGATCCTGTAACCTTTTTTCGTGAATGTCATACACGAAAAAATGAAACTTGGATTGATGAAGAATCGGAGCGTACATGGGTAATTTATTTTACTGTGTTGGTATTTCATTGTTATTCATTTTTATTATCTATAGCTTATTTTTCTGTTTTACGATTGAATTTTTATTTTTAAAAATTGTAATGCTAGGCAACAATGGAGAGCAGTCTGCAAACTTTGATTCAGTCGGGGCAAGAGGATAATGAAGATCTTAGGACCCAAGTGTATGTTGATACAATGGGTCCTGAGAGGTATAATAGAGTCAGAGGATACGGGCATGGGGTGACTCCTGATATGGTGTCCTATGCATCTTCTTCGTCTTCTACATCAATTTCCTCCAAGAGGTCATCTAACAATGCAATGGCATTGCTGATGACTCAAAATAATGAGTTGAAATTGAGGGACGAAAATAACAATAAACGGATTTCGGACCTAGAGAACAAGCAAGGTCAGATGTTTGCGTGGCTTTTCCAAAGATTTCAGCCACAACCACAACCACAACCACCGTTTAGCCCGGGAACCCAACAGTCAGGCCAGAGTCAGCCTCCTCCTCCTCAACAGTCGGGTCAAAGTCAGCCGCCCCCTGCATATCCGTATGCTGGCTATAATCAGCAACCTCCGTATCCTATGTATCTGATGCCTATGCAGCCCACGCCATACATGCAGCAGCCGCCTATGCCATACATGCAGCAGCCTCCCATGCCTTACATGCAGGAGCCGCCTTATCAAGTGCCAGTATATCGACCTGAGATGGCTGCTCCTTGTCCTGAATTTCCAGCTGGGGGTTTGCTGAAATGCTTGCGGGTGTTGGATCTGATGTGGACTTGTCGAGGATGTTGGCATCAAATATAGGACCTCAAGGACGAGAAGGATATGTGCCACGTTCAGGCGCAGATTCGGTTCCGTAGTTTATTTGGTTCGCTTTCTTGTCGGATAAATATGACACTTTAATCGTTCTATCTTTTTTGTTTTTTTTATGTTATGTTTGTAATGTCGGATTTAGTAGTTGTTATGACGGATGGGTTTTTATATATTAAGTCGAACGTTAGATGTACAATATTTGTGTATTTTGGCACTATTTTTATTGTTAATTATTTTCATTAATGTATGTACAATATTTGTGTATTTTGGCACTATTTTTTTTTTAATTATTTTCATTAATGTTTATTTTGGCCTTGAAATTTATTAATATAATTATATAATTTTTTTCTGTTACAATGAATTGAAGAAGAATGCGGTTTGTCTGGTTTTTTTATTATTATTAACAAAGGTGGTGTCGGTTAAGATCGTTATTCGTTTGCATATTTTATTTATTTAATTGTTATTTGACGTCGGTTTATGGGATATTAAATTGATTTAATATTATTTCAGTGTCGTTTAAAAACGACAATAGGATTTATATTTTACAATAAATTGCTTATGAACGTCGCCTTAAAGCGACGTAACGTGTAAGTATGAGTCGGTTTAAACCGACGTTAATTTTAGTGTCGCTTTAGAGCGACGCTGCTTAGTGTCGGTTTAAGCCACGAAACAGACGCTAAAGCCCTTTCGTGACGCTAGCAATAGTGTCGCTTTGAAAATGCGACATTACATTGTTTTATGTCGCATTTTTGCCAAAATTGCGACAGAAATCGGATTTCTCGTCGATTTTTGCTCCGACGGTGATAGCATATATTGTAGTGGTGAGAGACTTTTTTTAATTAATCAATGATGCAATTAATTAGTTTGATTATTAGTTTCATTTGTAGAAATTAGCGGAATTAATAAATCAGTTTATCTTTTACGCCAAAACTTAATTTTCTGAATTTGTCAACTTTGTTTCTCATATGTGGACAGCTACCACTAATTGTAGGGACGTACAATAGTGGAGTGCACCTTGAAAATCGGATTTTGTTGGAGTCTAATTTAGTTAGAAATGTGATTGTGTAAATCCTATCGAGATTTTGTAGAATCTTTTAGATAGTTTTCTTATTGTAATGTAAGTCTAATTTAGTTGACTTCTAAGTCGCTAGTGCGGGATGCTTTTTTTCCTTTCGACCAGGTTGAAATTCCCGGCAAAGTTTTTATCGAGACCTATTATGCACCATATTCCCAAGGCACAATAAGATGATAAATCACACATCAGAATTCACCAAATCTCTCTCTGCACCTCTGATGCCCCTCTCCTTCTCTCTATAACTCTTTAGTTAAATAGGCATACAACACCTTATCAGAAAGCTCTTGTTGTTGTGGTAGAGAAAGTTTGTCCATCTTATCAAGGTAATATTACGTTTCAATCATACTTATTATCATTAACCTTTTATTTATTGAATTGACCTGTATGCTATTAATTCAATTATTCTTTCTTTCAATGGCTATGTTGAATGTAGTACAACACATTTGAAGTGATATCTCAACTTTTGGAGAAGGATCTTCTACAACTAGGATTCAAAGACTTTATTTAGTTTTCAGCTAATCAAGTTCTTCTAAAACACATACTTGATTTTTGTATCAGGCCTTGTTTACAAAAAAACATTTCTCATGATGCATGAACCCAACCTATTATTTTATATTCCATCAACTGTAGGTTCATGCATCATGGTGAATATTTTTATACAAACAAGACTTGGTATTTATCAAGTCTATGTTATAGAAGAACGTAATTGGCTAAAAATGAAATAAAGTCTTTGAATGCTAGTTGTAGGGAAATTCGGAATTTCATCTCCAATGCATTAATTGTATTAGGTTCAACATAAAAAGAGAAAATTGAATCAATAGTAAGTATATTGATTCAATAAAACAATTTTTTATTCATAATAATGATGATTGCTTTAGCGTAACATCAAGAGTGTGCTCATAACGTGTTGTAGGCCTCTTTAACTGAAGAATTATAGAGAGAGGGTGCGGCAAAGAGTAGAGAAAAGAGAGAATTGGTGAACTTTGCGATTTGTGTTATCTCACCTCATTGTGCCTTTATTTATAGTAATAGGAAAGGTAAATTCCTTACATTTTAGATATTACAACTGGAATAGGACACTATCTAAAATATAATGTAGAATCCCATAATAATTTACTAAGATTTACATAATCAAAATCCTAACTAAATTAGGACTGCATTAAAATACACTGATCTGTCTCTCTTTTGAGAAATACAGTAACAAATAATTTAGTGTTCCTTGTAGGTTGTCCTCAAAGGCCTTATTTTTTTTGTGGTGAGTATATCTAGAATTCGAATTCAAGATCTGAGAATCACTTTGATGAAGAAGTTGAAGTCTCACGTTAAAATCAATTAATAATATAAAGAGTAATCTAATTATTTGTATATATGCAAAATTTCTTTTTTTTCTCGATATAAGATTTATACTTTTATACTCAACAATTACAACCCCAAATTTCACTAAATTGTTCTGCAAATAAAATAGTTTAGCGTGATCACCGACCACGGTTTCCGAGTCCAACACCATTCTCCTTCCTCAACAACATTTCCCCCCTCTTCATTTTCAAATTTAGTATTGGAAGTGCAAAACGAGAAGCGTGGCAATTAGTCATGCAACACTTTGTTAATTAAACAATTAGTCATGCAACACTTTGTTCATTTTAATACAAAACCTACATGCACGCACGCACGGAACCCACAGAGGATACGAATAAAAAAGTTCCAGTTTTGTTTTGTTTTTTATTTTTCATTTTTATTTTTTTATAGTCTGATCTCAATTAACAGCTTAGACCAGAGAAAATTATCTACCCACCACCACCTTTTTCTAATGCCTAATATCATGTGATGAATGATATCAAGTCCAAGTGTATGTATACATACCAACTGTATATATATCAAGATAATTAGTAAGATACAAAATCACATGTTCTTACATTTTTAAAGCTGTAATATCACATAAAAGTAGTCACTAAGCTAGCATTCACTTTGCAAGTTGCGATTAAATCACCTAAAAACAATATATTTCCGACCACCAACAATTTAATTTCTTTTCCTTAAAACAATATATTTCTGTTTACCAATAATTTAATTTCTTTTCCTTTTATTTTTCTTCACACTCATATTCTGAGTAAAAAGATACTGAGTTCAGGACCTCCATTACCCTCAGGGTTCAACATGTAAAAGGCCTCCGAGTCAAGGCTTCCCACAACTCGTTCAAACCTAGCTCTCATATAAAGCAACTCACCTTCAGACGCGCCACCCTTTTTTCCGTCGTCCAACACCGGAATCACGCCGGCTCCGACCGAAACACTTCGAACAGTGCTCAGCACGTGCCAGTCTGACTCTCCGCACGTGCGAGTCGCCGCATACCCACACTTCCTCCCATTACAATACATAGTCCATGAAGGCTCCTGAAACAGCTTCCGGCCATTCATAACTGCACGGGCGGAACCCTGTTGCTTTTCAGACTCGAGAGCAATGCGCACGAGCCCCGAAGACATCTCTTTAACGAGTGAAGACGTTGACATGGCTAGCTCGAGAAGCAAGACCGGCTCCGACCGGGGGTCCAGCTGAACGGCGAAGCTGACGTGACCACGGCGGTTTCCAAAGAGCGTGCCGGTGACTTTTCGGCCGAGGGAGGGGGTGACGGAGAGGTTGGAGGGGAGGGCGAGCCCCTTGCATGTCGGGATAATGATGGGGAAGGAGAGGAAGCTGAGGAAAGAGCGGAGGAGGGAGGTGATCTTTGTTTGGGTTTTGGATAGGTGGTGGAAGGAGACTAGAGAGTGGTGTTTCGGAATCAAAAGGTTGTTGGGGACGTCGTCGTTTTGAAGATGGTTAAGTGGGAGAGTTGATGGTGAAGATCTGAAGTGGTTGGATGGGATGATCTTTCTTGAAGTGCTTCTTGATATGGAAGTAGTACTGGTGCTTCTGTGGAGGCTGAGCTCTTGGTGTTTCATGGTGACTTAAAAATTACAATTTGATATGATAAAAAATTGTCTGTAAGGTTTTGTAAGCTTGCACTTTCTAATTCTTTGAAGTATGAATACAAATCGAAATGTGCAAATATTTTTGAGAGATAAATTTAATTTAATCCTAACTTGCAGAGAAAGAATGAGAGGAATAGGGGGGAGGGGAGCGCGCTGTTCTTTTGAGAGAGAGAGAGAGAGAGAGAGAGAGAGAGAGAATATTGGCCGACAAGTGATTATAGTGTTCGGAGGTGGCCAATATAAAGGGAGACGATGGAGGCTTGTGATGATGATCACATCCTAGACTTTTTTTTTCAATAGTGTGTACCTCATGTGGACCTACAAACCACCACCTTATATATCTTCATAGCCACACCACTTTCAGCAACCTGCTTTTTTATGAATAAGAAAAGGATAATGTGAGGGATATTAAATTTGGAGATTAAATTTACAAATTAAATGATGTGCCACCATAAGAATAACCACGTTTATCAACACTTAAGTAATAAATCAATCATCAACTCTCATGTCCTTTAATTTTCAAAATTTAGTTTACAAATTTAGTTTCCCTAACATTACTCATAAGAAAAATAAAAAAAATAAAAAAAGTGATTTCTCAATTTTATATTTATCATTTTTCTTTGTTCACAATTATTTGTAGCGACTGAAGGAAGTTGAACTTATGGAGCATCCCACCTCCAGGTTGAAGCAGTTGTTAAAATCAATTAATAGCTCTCCAAATCTTATGACTCCCATTGGAAGAGAACAACTGTCAGTATTTGGATACAATTCTTTTGTTTTCTTTTCGTTGGTTTCATTTTATATATTGATGGGTCCTTTCTTTTCTGTCGTGTCAATGAATACAATTCTTTTTTCAATTTATAATCGATTTATAACGAGCCTTTCGTTTTTTATAGAAAGCGACTAAAAGAAGTTCGAGCTTCACCTTAAACTCATTTAACATTAATGTCAAAATAGAAGGAAGTCCAACATTTTATCAGCACATACAAGATTCTTAATTTTTTATGTGGAACAACACTATACATCCTAACAACAACCCAAATTTGATACTGGAATTTGAGTGCTGTCTACGATCTTTTCTTGGTAGAATTGGACGATTTCATGGTCATCATATATATTATATTTCATGATTTTATGCTTATATGTTTACCGATTAGATTAAAATCATGAAGATTAAGTGAGTTGAAAAAGTAATATTGCATTGAAAGGTTCTATATCTTCGTCTTTTCTCAAGGCATTTTTAGACAAAGATTTTGTTTTTTTTTTCTCTTTTCGGATGATAAATACTTCTTAGAATATGAAGTGTGAATCAAATCTATGCTTAAATTGAAATTGGTTAAGATATAACTTTCTTAAATTAGAAATAAAAAGTGGTCAAGTGATGAAACATTTTCTAAACTTATCTATACTGGAATGAATATATGCTCATGGAACCCACTAATTCCTTTATTTCTTTTAATTAAGTGGTAGTGGCCCAAGTTCATGGGACAGTCCTTAAACCCCAGAAGTTTATTATGCATTTGTCTCGTTTAGTATAGATCACCTTTAATTTTGAGAGGATTAGACGTGAATGAAAGTTCTTTCTTCTAATCTTATCATTTTGGCATGTGGTTCAATATCTTAGCGGATAGGTGTGGTAGGTTTCTACTTACGCATCCCGGGTTCGAAACTCTCTCATTTCCTATATTATTATAATAATTGCAAACCCTTCCTCTCCCCTTAAAATAATAAATTAAAAAAAAAGAATCTACCATTTGAGAAGGGATTGAAATGAATAAGTTTTCTTCAAGTTAGACACAATATTTTCATTTTTTTTCTTTAACAATGTCTTACTCATTCCAATCTAATCTTCTACACCAAACAAAACCTTATTTAAAATATAAGTAGGAAAAAATTATTTAAAATATAAGTAGGAAAAATTATACTTTGAAGAGTAGTGCAAGCAAAATGAATTTTTTTAGGGTACTTATAACGTGTCAGTTTTCTAAATGCTGTAGACATTTTGGAGAAGGGCTTCTAAGCCTTGTATGATATCTGGTCAAAGGAAACTTCTCATATGTGATACAGAATATGTCTAAATCCAATGAACTTTCTTTCTTTGTATCATATCGTTTTTCAATCCGTTTTTGGTTTTATGTAACTAATTCTTAATCTCTTGATGGTCAAATAGTGAAGATACTAACCCGTTGATATGTTTGCCCAAGTAGTGGAGAAGTAGAGGGTTCGTAGGTGAGCGTATATGTATAAGGAACCTCAACTATACAACTAATTAAAAGAAGATTCGTGTTGTAAAAAGCATTGGAGATGAAGGAGTCGACCCAAATTGTGAAGAACATGGAGGTGTGGAGGTGATTCTACACTGTATTGAGTTATAGGCTGCAGGAGGCCGGTAGGTAGAGTATAATTATTGTTCTAAAGATTCCCGCCTAATGCCGCTTAGGCTCCGTCTAGGCACTAGGCGACTGGTCACCATCCCGATTAATCTCTAGGCATTTGAAAATTAAGTAAGTGCGCCTCGACCTGCTTAGGGGTCCACCTAGCCCACCTTGTTTGCCTAAATTAGTCTGCCTAGGTTGTGACTCTCACTTAGATAAAAAGCTGATAAGTTTCATTTTGCATTTTATTTTGTCAATAAAATCTAAGATACTTGTTAAATACTTAGATGAACACTCATTATATGTTTGTTCCCCATGATTTAATATGTTTTAATACTTTATTTTTTACTTCGGTCTTTAGTGCAAATGAAGTGTAGATTTGTCAATAACATTTTTAATAAACTACTCCGAACTCTGATGCAAAGGAACAGGAACACTATCCTAATTATTAAATGACAATAGAAGAACTATTTAACCTCCTTACACCTAAAAAAAAAAAAAAAAAAAAAAAAAAAAAAAAAAAAAAAAAAAAACTTCTTAACCTAATAGTACGATTTTGCAATTTTGCACTCTCTTAATATCACTTGTGTTTAGAAAAGGTTTTATATTGATTCAATTGCAAAACAAGTTAGAGAACTATGTCAATTTTAGAGACCAATTTAATCTAAAAGAAAACCTTGAAAAAAAAACAAAACAATCGTGAGATCAGATCATCTTCCATTTCTTCTCATATGAATATAAAAACAAAAGGGTAAACTGTCGGTTTACCCCCTGAACTTTCACCTCACTTTCGATTCCCCCCCTGAACTTTTCTATTGGAAAATTAAGGACTCAAACTAATTTTTTTAGCCAATTTGCCCCCTACCGTTAGTTTTTCATATATTCCATCCATATTTCCGTTAAGTGAGACCATGTGCATAACATGTGAGGATAGTTAAGTCTTAAGTCATTTCAATTTTAAAAATGATTAAAAACTAAAAAATAATAATAATAATTTTTCCTCTATTTTTTCCTGCTAATTCCTATCCTCAATTTTAATTTTCCCTCTCATTCCTATGTGCATGAGAAATAACATACATATGGTGTTATTGTCTTCATAAGTAGCTAAGTTAATCTTTTTTTTTGAAGCATGTACTACCATTTTTATTTTCTCTAACAAATTAATAATTTGACAAATGGTCATGGTATTATTGTCTCTCAAAAGCAGTGCATTAATATAAGAAAACATGTCCATAAAAAAAGACTAGGGTTTCTTATATTAATGCACTGCTTTGGAGACAATAGCACCATTAGCATTTGTCAAATTATTAATTTTGTTAGAGAAAATAAAAATGGTAGACAATAACACCATATGTCATCATTCTCTCATGCATAGGAATGAGAGGGAAAATAAAAATCGAGGATAGGAATTAGCGGGAAAAAATAGAGGGAAAGTTTTGCTTTTTTTATTATTTTCAGTTTTTTAATCATTTTTAAGAGTGAAATAACTTAATTACCCTCACATGTTGTGCACATGGTCTCACTTAACGGAAATATGGATGGAATATATGAAAAACTAACGGTAGGGGGCAAATTGGCTAAAAAAATTAGTTTGAGTCCTTAATTTTTCAATGGAAAAGTTCAGGGGGGAAATCAAAAGTGAGGTGAAAGTTCAGGGGGTAAACCGACAGTTTACTCAAAAACAAAAATAAGAGAAAGACGAAAACTTCCAAATCAGAGTACTAAAATATAAACATGCATGGTCGTCAACGACGTAAACACTCTAACCAACATTTCGGCAAGCACCAGAGCCAATAGAAGCAATCGTTTCCAGCAAAATATCGAAAAGAACAGAGAACTACCCTATGAAAAATAATGTAAACAACTAAAAGAAAGTTATCATTTAGATGCTGAATCAGTACAATGATAATGTACATGGCCTTCATTGTCTTTTTCCTCTATAAAACTCCATTTTTCAGTAGCCTGATACATACGATAAGCATTACGTAAGGGTGCATGTGATGGCAGTTTTTTTACTAAAATAAAGTGACCGACCTGAGGATGACGAGCATGACAATGAATTGTTGAGATTATTTTATCTCATATCGGAAAAATTAGAGACTTTGCATGTACTTATAAGTAATTGAGTTACTTTTTATATTCTCAATTTATTTTATCATAGAATATCAACTTTCTTCGTGGTATTAACGTAAGTTGTTCCACATGTGAAGTCCAACAACAACATATGCTCCATGCCATGCGATTTGTATTGTGAAAATGCTAAGCTTGAAAAATTGCCACGCAACATGAGAAGGCGTGTTAAGAGTATCAATCACATCGGAAATATAAGAGACCTTATTATGTATGCTTATAAATAATTGAACAATTCTTAATATTATTAATTAATTTTAATCAAATATGTTGTAAGGGAGGTCATAATGTCCCATCAAACTTCATCTTTCTTAAAAAGTTAAATCAAATATATATGTTGTGAGAGAGGACAATGTAGGCCTGGTAATTCTTGACACGACCCGATAACCCGACACGACACGACACGAAATTAACAGGTGTTCGGGTCGACACGATAACGAATCGGGTAACCCGATAAGCATCTGTTAAGATAACGGATTGATTCGGGTATACACGTGGATAACACGATACACGATAAGCAGAATATTAATTTAATAATTTTATAACCCTAAAAAATAATATAATTATATTTATATATATATATTAAATTAACTATAATAATTATACCCCCAAAATATTAACTATAATAATTATATATATATAATTTTAAATTAAATTTTATACCCCTAAAAAAC